ATGTGTAACTGAATTCTAAGCCTAGATCTTGTAGCCTAACCCGCTGACCATATACGCTACCTAGGTAAAAAGTTGCACCTCTGAGTAGAGTTGCTAATGTGTAAACCCACATGCCAGCTGAGATTGTGGATCTCTAATTTCAGGCTAGCGAGGGATTAAGTAGAGATCCTGGTGGCTATAGGGTTCTGAAATCCAGAGAGCCTACCTTTCTGGGTTATTGTGTAATGTATTGAGCCAGTGTACAGTTTTTCCCCCCATCCCTGGAATGGCCTGGGGGGGCAGAATCTATACACCTGCCCAGACTCTCCCGACCATTAACTTCACCAGGCAAACCTGATGTGTTCTTTTCGCCTCACCCACATCACTGGGTGAGAGCCAGTTTGGCGTGGTGGTTAAGAGCGGCGGACTCTAATATTACAGTTGTTCCAGGACGTCTACAGCCCCTAAGAACGAGCCTAGCTCGCCAACTAAGAGCTAGGACTTGCTGCTGCCAGACAATCTCAAGATCTCTTGAATATTCTACACACAATGCCAAATGGTAATTAATTACCTCACAGGGTTGTTGTGAGGATAAAAAGAAGGGGGGGGAGAACCACATATGCCATCCTAAAGGAGGAGGAGGATTTATACCCCGCCCTTCACTCGGAGTCTCAAGAGCGGCTTACAATCTCCTTTCCTTTCCCCTCCTCACAACAAACACTCTGTGAGGTAGGTGGGGCTGAGAGAGCTCTCTCGAGGACTGCCCTTGAGAGAACAGCTCTGAGAGAACTTGTGACTGACCCAAGGTCACACCAGCAGCTGCATGTGGAGGAGTGGGGGAATCAAACCCGGTTCTCCCAGATTAGAGGCCGTGCTCCTAACCACTACACCAAACGGGTGGGATAATAAACACACATTCATGATGAGATGGAGACAGAGTGACTAGGGAAGCTGATGCGATCGCCCTGCCTCCCTCTTGCACCCAATGTGGAGCTCATAAGATCCAACCAATGGCGCCGAAGTCCCAGAATTTATCCCAGCACTGGTGTGCACTGTACCTTCACCAGGACACTGATCGCACAAGCCATCCCGACTTGACCGACTCCCACCACGGTGATCTTGTTGTTCGGCTGGGTCGATGGCGCCGCGACTGGCGTAATCAGTTTATCCTTCAGGGAAGCCATTGCGGAACACTTTCCCTATGAAGACAGAGAGAATGGGGACAGGTGAAACAACAGCAGGTTTTTGCATACTCTGAAGGGGGGGGGTCGTATTCCCCAAAGTTTCAAGACATACAATGGTGCCGCGGTGGGCGGGGGAGAGGAGATTTACAGAAAGCCAGCAAGGCGCAGCAATAGCTTTTTGGCTTGTCACACACCCATTAGAGGAAGTCACTTCAACCTAGAGATGTAAAATTTCCAGAAATTTTGAAGCTTGGGAAAAATAGAGATGTAAAATTTCCGGAAATTTTGAAGCTTGGGAAAAAACCCGGGTTTTTTCCGGAAAAAAGAGGAAATTTTCAGAAAAATTGGGAAAAAAAAGCTACATTAGCATTACTTTTGTCTTTTCTAGATTGAAAGTCATTCTGTTACTTTAGGAACATAAAATATGACTCTGGACATTTTTACTTGGCATGAAATTATCACACCTAGCATATTAAAAATATAGTGTATCCAAACAATTATTACAAACAGAATACCCACCCACATGCAAAAACAAAACTGAAACTTTTTTATTTTCCTCTGACAATCACACCTCCTAAAGGAAGAAATGCATCTTGTTTGGTCCAAAGACCTTCAGTGCCAGATTTCCGAGGATCAATGGAACGTTATTTGGCAAAATCAGAACTCATAGTCGAAATCCGTATACATTATAGAGACAAATATGAAGATCCTGTTGAGATGGTACTTAACACCAGCTAAACTAGCTCACTTGATACCCACCTTGTCGCCGCAGTGTTGGAATCAGTGCGGATCTAAAGCAACCTACTTTCATAACTGGTGGTCCTGCAAAGTTATTCAAGGCTTTTGGCTTCCAGTAACAGACTGCATTCATAAATTAACGAACTATAATTTACCTTTTTTGCCGGCTGTTCTCCTTGGTTTGTGGCCCTCTGACGGTCCTCCTGAAAATGTCAAAAAATTAATCAGTACTTTCCACACAGCCCAAGATCCTAATTTTTCCAATTTTTTGGATAAAAACAAAAAGGCTTCAGGAAAAAAACGGAAAAAACCCGTTTCCCCCCCGAATTTTTCCGGTTTTTTTCCAGGCCTTCACATCTCTACTTCAACCCAGTTTCCCTCTGATTGCAACATTCTTTATTAGTTTCTTAATGGGGTTATTTCATAACGTTACAGATCACCGCGTCGACTCCTCTGTTCCAAAACTGCTCGGGAATTGACATCGATTTGCACTGTTCGTGAACGTGAGCACGGTATGCAAATGTCATCATGACGCAGTTCAGAGTGGCAGCCCAGGTCCCATCAATGAAAACGCACACAACTCTTCGCGGTCCGTGCTGAAATACTGCCCTTCCGATGACTCTGCTTTGATTTCAGACTAGAATGGGACCAAACTGGCCATTCTAGCCTTCCTCTTCCTCAACCCGGATTATGGCCAAAAGTCAGGCCTGTAGCAACAGTGGGGCATCTTGGGGCTGGGCCCCCTGACTTACAGCCCAGGCCTCCCAACTTCACAGAATCATAGAATGTTAAGAGTTGGAAGGGACCTTGCAGGTCATCTAGTCCAACCCCCTGCACTCTGCAGGAACACAGCCGAAAGATAACCCTACAACATACCCAAAAGATGGTCATCCAGCCTCCGCTTGAAAACGTCCAGCGAAGGATCACCCACCACCTCCCGAGGCAGACTGCTCTACTGCTCAACCACTTACAGTTAGGGAGTTTCTCCTGATATTTAGCCGGTATCGACTCCCTTGTAATTCCCACCCGTTAGATCTAGTCTTGCAATCCGGAGCAAGAGAGAACAGATCTGCTCCATCTTCTACATGACAGCCCTTCAGATATTTGAAGACTGCAATCTTCCCATCCAGCTGGTTTATTTTATTTTTCTCACACGCCATAAACCTCACTACGCTGAGCCATCGTCCTGCCCTGCCCCCTTGCCTCTCTCACTCTCTCGTCACTTGTGACACAGCCTGGGTGTGTTTGTGTGGGGGGATGCCCCCTGACTTAAAAGACCCCCGAAGTCAAAAATCTTGGCTACAGCCCTGCCAAAAGTCCCTTCTGCCAAACTGGGAGGGAAATTCTGTATCGGGGAGGGGGTGGGGGAAGACAAGCAACTTCCAAACGAAGCGGAAGAGCTAACATAGCATAGTGTGGTACACGTTTTTATTTATTGACCAACATCCTTCATTGATCGTCCGCCTTCCTCACTGAGATTCCACTGAAATCTCACCAATCACAACATTTAACACACTGCAACAGAAATGGTTTAGCACAGACAAAAATCACAACCAAAAAAAATCCAAGAAACCAGAATACTGTATAGTGCAGACAAATCCAGTAAGATTAAAAATTACTTATTTACAAAATTTGCATCCTGACGACCTGCCCACAAAAGCCACTGAGGCAGCCAACAGTTCAAAACATATATGATAGAAATCACATTATAAAACCATTAAAATTAACCCTTCCAAAACATGGCATAAAAATGTAAACTGTTACAATACATACAAAATTGGAGAATGCACCAATAGTGTATAACGCATACAAGGAGACGGTCTGCAATTCCACCAACAGTAACTACAACCCTGTTCCCATCACAAAAATGCTCCCCTAAATATTCTGTTTTACACTCTGCAGGACGCTAGAAGTGTAGGAGCATTCCTGACGTCCTAAGATAGGCCATTCCAACTGGTGGGAACGTCAAAAAAAGATTTTCAGGTATAGATGGCTGCTGTTTTCACTCCATTATGGAAAATAGGAAAGGATAAGTACGTTTCATTCCACCCTACTCTCTACTGTTCACAATCCTCCCTATTGGTATGCTCTCAAATCTCAAAATTTAGATTATTAATTCCTTGGGACAGTCACAATGTAGGGTTGTTTTTTTTGGGGGGGGGCCAGCTAGATTACGGAAACATCATGTGCATTAATAGCATGGTATCACAATAACCAATAACAGGGCACGGCATTTCCAAATGCATCATGTTTATGATGGTTTTAAACCAGAGGTGGCCAAACTCGCTTAACGTAACAGCCACACCGAATAAACATCTTTGAGAGCCGCAAGACATGAATATTACAGACACGTTTTTATTGAAAAAGATGCAAAGTTGGTTTTTTTATTAACGTTAAATTAGACTGTGTGGAAGAGCCATATGCGGCTCCCGAGCTGCAGTTTGCCCACCCCTGTTTTAAACCGTGAATGCTTTCATCAGAAGCCCCTTCGGAGATGAGCAGGCAAAAGCAGGCAAAAGAAAAAAAATGAAACGGACACCAATAGACCAACTCAAAAGAAGCTCTAATAATGCTTTCAGAAGACTATTTAAACTTGCAGGGCAAGTTCCTGCTTGTGACCATCCGCACACGCCGGCAAGCTGGAGATCAAAACATCAGACACAACCTTGGTTGTCACGGCAAACGCGATCCTTCTTCGCAGAGCCGGGGCAGTTGGGCCCCTACAAGTGGTGAAGCAACTGGGTGAGGCGATTCTGGGCCTCTTACAAGTGCTACTTTATTTTATGGATTTGGGCCTGTGGATGAACGGGAATAGACCCCAAATTCCTCTCCTTTCCCACTCTCCTTGTCCTTCCCCAGGTAACAGTGTCTTCCCTGAAGGGAAGCACAAACAAAAGAAGCAGAAAAACCCTGTGTCTATTTATTTATTTTTTAAACTCTCTCTTTATTCATCTTTCAAAACAACTCATTACAATAACATACAACATTCCTACTGACATTCGTGAGACCTACATACCACAAGAACAACACTAACGTTTAGCACTTCAGAAAAACAAAAGCAGCACACCCAATAACAATTTCAATCTTTAGGCTCTACTATCAGCATTTTACATCAAAACCCATCTTTGATATTGCGTATTTGCAGGTAAGATATCCTGTGTGGTAAGATAAGAGAAAACAGGATACCAGGTTGATTCAAATTTGAGACTCGAAAATTGAGGTGTTTGAGCTCTCTGGACTGTCTATTTGAGCACGAGATCTCCTCTCCCTGAAGGGACGCACAAACAAAAGAAGCAGAAAAACCCCTGTGTCTATTTGAGCATGAGATCTCCTCGGACCGTGCGAGAGAGTGACGTACGCAGGAAGCCACCTCTTCCTCAACGACCTTGAAGATCGACTGTACACAGTCTATGGGCCAGGTCAGGCGAGCACTGGTCGGCGTCCTATCACCGCTCAGCAAAATCTGAAGCCTTCCTTTAAAAGAAGTGGCTCCTTCTCCATTGGAGAAAGCTTCAGAGGAGAAAAGCACAACACAGGCCGTTCACTCTGGCAGCTTCCACTCCGAGATTCCCTTTCTCTGGAAAACCGCCAAAGTCGGAGCGCCTCTGCATTACCCAGAAGCTGCATAAAGCATGTTTGATTCCAGCTGGCTTGCGATGGGCTGGAGACGGGAGAAAACTACTGGCGTATCCTGATCCACCTCAAAAGCCCTCGAGATAGAATCCGAGAATCCCAGAGTCGGAAGGGGCCATAGAGGCCACCCAGTCCAACCCCCTGCTCATTGCAGAATCAGCCTAGAGCATCCCTGGCCAGGGTTTGTCCAGCCGCTGCTTAAAGACGGCCAGGGAGGGGGAAGACACCAGTGTTTGTCCAGCTGCTGCTTAAAGACGGCCAGGGAGGGGGAAGACTTATCACTACTATTCAATAAAATGTGGATTTCAATTAAAATTTGTTGCATTTTTTTTTAAAAAAAGACAGAGATTACTCTCCATAATGGGGGAGGAGAATACTTAAGGCCCAAAGCCTAGTACCAGTATCTCTCCGGGGTAGGGTTGCCAGTTCCCCCCTGGCCGCCGGTGGGGGCTGGGGGCGTAGGGTTGCCAGATCCGGGTTGGGGAACTCCTGGAGATTTGGGGATGGAGCCTCAAGGACCTCAGTGGGGCACAATGCCACAGAGTCTACCCTCCAAAGCAGCCATTTTCTCCAGGGGATTGATCTCTATAGTCTGGAGCAATGTTCCCTCTAAGCTGAGTTAGCGTGAGCCAGCTCACCCTTTTTTAGCCTCCGGCTCGCACATTTCTGTCTCGGCTCAGGAAGGAGGGGTCCAGGGCAAACGAATGTATGCAGTAGTCAAATCGCTTGCTCATAACTTTAATGCCAGGACCTCACAGAGTAGAATTTTTTGCTCACAGGAATCCACAGCTTAGAGGGAGCATCGGTCTGGAGATGAGCTGTAATTCCGAGGGATCCCCAGGTCCCACCTGGAACTGGCTTTCCTATAGAACACTAAGGCCTGAGCAGATCCAGTCGACGGAGTCAACCAAGCTCCACAGCTTAGAGGGAGCATTGGTCTGGAGATGAGCTGTAATTCCGAGGGATCCCCGGGTCCCACCTGGAACTGGCTTTCCTATAGAATACTAAGGCCTGAGCAGATCCAGTCTACGGAGTCAACCAAGTATCCAGAGAAACTAAGCCTCATACTGGGCTGCTAACTGCCTTTTCAGGTGCCCTAGAGTACCCCATTAACGTTTCTACTTTAACATTTTTTTTTCTATTAAAAGGTTTAGAATTTAGGGCCTAGGGGAATCATGCCATACTTGAGGCCTTGTCTGCTAGGAACTAGTAGCATTCCTGTTTTAACTCTTCTTTATCCTTAAAGGAAAAAAGGTGCAGAAGAGATTGGATTTAGACCCCGCCCTTCACTACCCAAAGGAGTCTCAGAGTGGCTTACAATCTCCTTCCTCTTCCCCTCCCCACAACAGACACCCTGTGAGGGAGGTGGGGCTGAGGGAGCTCTCTCACGAACTGCCCTTGAGAGAGCAGCTCTGAAATAACCTGTGAGTGACCCAAGGTCACACCAGCAGCTGCACGTGGAGGAGTGGGGGAATCAAACCCGGTTCTCCCAGATTAGAGTCTGCGCACTTAACCACTACACCAAACGGGTATAGCCTTGTTAGACCTTGGAAGCTAAGTACGGTC